TTATTTCTTTACCATGAGAACCAGCCCTTGGAAGATACATAGGATAGACAATGCTGCAGGGCAAAATGAAAGTGTTTCTACTTCTGGCATGTGTACCAATATTTGTTCTGGAAACAGACACCTCCTTTTGTGAGAACTATTCCATTTAATGCCCCTTTCCAAGATTATTGAACTGGCTTTAGAAATATTCAGACATGCCTTATGCCAAGTATTTGCACCTGTTACATTCTTTATGCAAAATTAAGTCACTGACTGTGAAGGTCCTAAGGGACTTATGTTCTGCCTCAGAAAATCATTTGGTGTTTATACATATGAAATTTGATAGTGTGTGCCATGAAAATCAATCAGCATGACTGCTCATCTGGGCCTCAACTACCCACCTATCCTTGGTTGACAGATAAACTGGTGTTTGTATATTCATGTTATTTTAAAACAGATTTTCATAAATAGTAGGGTTTGTTAACCCAGAAGGACAGCTTAATTTTGAGAGGCATTTTAAAATTTGCATTGCATGTGACTCTTGGAGCCAAGGCAAGTAGCACCATATTCTGAATAAACTGGATCTAATACATTGTTATCTGATCACATAGCCATTACCTGATTGGAATTTAGAAAAATAGTCCCAGAACTCAACACAGAGCAATAGAATGGTTATCCATTACTTTTTAGTTACATTTTATCTGGTTTCCTTAAAGGAACAAAGGCTTTTTGCTTCTAGTTGGTGTTTGTAAACAGAGACAAAAACGAATGCAAGCTCCACCTATGAGAAGCTTATGAAGTATTATTGAACAGGGAGAAAACCAGAGTGCTTTTATTACACCTGTACTTGGCATGGGTGAGGCCACGCCTCGAGTGTGCCTTCAGCTCTGGGCCCCTCATCATAGGAAGGATATTGAGGTGCTGGAAAAGTGGGGCAACAGAGCTGGTGAAGGGTCTAGAGAATGAGACATACAAGGAACAAGAACGGCTGAAGGAGCTGGGATTGTTTAGCCTGGACAAGAGGAGGCTCAGGGGAGACCTTATTGCTCCCTACAACCACCTGAAAGGGGTTGTAGCCAGGTGGGATCTGCCTCTTCCCCCAGGCAACCAGAGACAGAACAAGAGGAAATGGCCTCAAGCTGAGCCAGGGAAGGTTCAGGTTCAACATCAGGAGGACCTTCTTCCCTAAAAGGGTGGACAAGCATTGGAAGAGGTTGCCCAGGGAGGTGGATTCACTATCCCTAGAAGTGTTCAAGAAATGACTGAACGTGGCACTTAGTGGTATGGTTTGGTTGATACGGTGATGTGTGATCAAAGATTGGACTCAGTGATCCGTGAGGTCATTTCCAGCCTAACTGATTATATGATTCTATTTGCATGAGCTTTCTATCCAGAATTACCTACATAACTGCTAGAAGCTCATGCTGAAATGGAGGCACACTAGAAAAGAGATTAGACTAGAAATGGAGCAAGGACTTTTTTATAAGACTCCTGCAAATTATAGACCTCCTTCAAGATTGTGATGAACAAATATGGAGGTGACTTTGGAGGGAAATAAATACCTTGAGCTGAAGGTGCTGAACAGAGAAGCATGGCTCTATGAATTCTCTGTAAGTGTCATGAAACAAGTGGGGTAAGGCTGAGCATTCCTGTCAGCCAGCGACATGTCTGTGTGAATGAAGGAATTCCCAGATGTTGGTGTGGTGTAACACTGATAGTGAAATAGGGAGAAGGGCTGGCTAGAATGACAGTAGTGACCACAAAATTACAATAGGTGAAGGCAGTACTGTGGCTGTGATGGCTGTGAAACTAAGTAAAATGTTTACTGCAAAGAAACAAAAGATAAAACCTTTAATTTTTTGTTGATACAAATAAATGACTAATTCATCTTTGTTAATTCTTCCCAAGTTACTTTTCCTTGTGTCTACAAAAACTTAAGTCTTCTAAACAAGAAATTTTGCTTATCAAGAGAGTCAGGGTTCAGTGTCCCTACAGTTCAAGCTGAGGATTCAGACTGAAGTTTTTTGCTATTGCTAAGAGAAATCCCCCTACATTTTAGCCTAGTTCTTGTTGCCACCAGCAACAGGGTTTCTTTGAGTTTCAGTTATCAATAATCCGTAATGCAACAGGTCATTGACAATGACATTTGGTGGGTTTTTTAAAATGTTTGTTTTAATTTTAATTTGGTTTTTTAAAATTAATTTTGGATGACTATCCACCAGTACAGTTTCAACTGTAAATTTTTTAGTCTCCCAGCCAGGAAGGAGTAAACTGATACATGGAGAAGTCCAAATTTTTTGAGAATTCTGCAACAGAAAGGCTTTCCTCAATACACTGAATAGCTGGGCAGTTGCTGACTTTAAATTCTCTCTGCTGAATAATGCTATTTGCTAGGACAACTCTGCAACCTAGAGGAATAAATCTGTATTTTCAGTGGTCTCCTTCAAAGGATATTTGCTAGACACATACAAAGGAGTTCTTATAACTATAGAGATGATGCTCTAAAGACACTCAGGTTCAGACCAAAATCCTACTAAAATATGACAAAAACTGTTCCAGTTTTTTGTCTCTAAGCATATTTATTTCATGGGTTTCTTTGGACTGATTCAGCACAAATGAAGTGAAACTGACAGAATTCTAGCTGCTTCCAAATCTAGTTGAATCATTAATAATTGTCTAGCAGAGAGTAAGAACACCTGCTTTTGTTAAAACAGCTGAATTGACAATTATGTGTACCATTTGAATGGGAGCATACACATAATGAAATAAGGAGATAAGTTAGAGGTAGGAACTGAAAAAAAGGTATGAAAGGTCATCCCATTCCTTTTTTTCTTTTCAAAAATCTCCATCCATTTCCTTCAGAAGTGTGTCTGCTGTGCACAGCTTTGCGTCATTCCTTGAATATGAAAGGCAAATCTGAGATCTCTCATCCACTTGTTCTTTGTATAGAATATACCTGCTTGTTTTGATCAGATTTTTTTTTTTTTCCTTCATTGCACCAACTATTTCATTTCCATGTCAGTTTTTTCACTTGGGTATTTCTGCCAGCAGGGTTTCTGGCAACATGTACATCCGGGCAAGCTACATCTGGAGCTTTGGTTCCTGGAGATCACCAGGCTGAATGTTTTGATGACTAATAGTCACTGATGAATGCCTATATTCTGATAGTTGCCAAAAGATTATACAACTCTAGAGTCTTTCATCCTTTAAGGCTACTCTGAGTGAATCCTCTGGTGTAAAACATTTTCTAGCTTGGAATAGCCAGGAAAAGGCTGTCAGTGCCCAGATGCACTGCAGGGGTATTCCACGCTCTGGATAAAATTTCAGAGATATGATCAGCTGAGAAGATTACAGTTATGACAGGCTTATATCTAAGGTAGTCCCTGGGTGCCAACAAAACTCCTGAGAACTTCTGGCAGTCTGCAGAACAGCCTTCAGCCTAGACTGCTAGTGTTTCAAGCTGAAAAACAGTTATCTCTAGAAGTGCTAGAACTGGCAACCATAATGCCTTTGTTCTCCTCTGATAACCACTAGATAGAAGGGAAAATCTGAAGACTTTTGATCAACAATGGTGTCACACAGCTCAGGCAATGCCTTTAAGGTGATCTGGCTCCTGTTGGAAGCCATCATGCCACATCAGGTGTCTATTGTTAGTTCCTGCAGAGCACACCATTGGTCTTATAAAAACTGTATTCATAGTAGTCAGCAAACTGAACCTGGGAGTGCAGTGAGAGGAGTTTAAATCTCCTATCTCATGGAGTGAGATGTTAGACTACAAGCCTCAGAGAGACAACATTTCCCAGCACTTGCTAGGATCCCTGAGAGCATTTATCATCTCCAGCTCCTACAGGAGAAGGTCAGATAAAGTAACACCTCCTTAACACCTCCCTGCAGTATGTATGTGTAAGCTGAGCACCTGTTCAGTGAGTTTTAATGACAATAACCGGCCAAGGAAATTTAGGTTTTCAGAATAAAAGCAAACCACCTACTAGAACTGAGCCTAGGCATTGTGGATTGTGTCTTGAATCAACACTAAAATATGCTTTGACTATGAGAGAAGGCACAGGCTTGCAATGAGTATAATCACTGTCTTCCCACTTGTGCTGTCCTTAGAATCACAGAATCATTAAAGCTGGAAAAGACCTCAAGAATGATTCTTGAGTCCAATCATTGACCAAACACCACCACATCAACCAGACCATAGCATTAAGTGCCATGCTCAGTCATTTCTTGAGCACTTCCAAGGATGGTGGCTCTACCATCTACTTGGGCAGCCTGTTCCAATGCTTGACCACCCTTTCAGTGGGGAAATTCTTCCTGATGTCCAACCTGAACCTCCCCTAGTACAGCTTGACAGCATTTCCTCTTGTCCTGTCTCTGGCTGCCTGGGAGAAGAGGCTGAACCTACCTGGCTACAGCCTCCTTTCAGTTAATTGCAGAGAGGGGTAAGGTCTTCTCTGAGCCTCCTTTTCTCCAGGATAAACAAACCCAGCTCCCTCAGCTGCTTCTCACAGGACTCACTTTCTAGGCATTTCACCAGCTTCATTGCCCTTCTCTGGACACGCTCCAGCCCCTCAATGTCTTTCATGCACTGAGGGACCCAGAACTGGGCACAACACTCGAGGTGTGGCCTCACCAGTACAGACGGGCAATCACTTCCCTAGTCCTGCTGGCTATTTTTTATATATAAACTGCTTAGTAATAGCAGTTACAAATTTAGTGAGAATACTGTGAATTTATATTTTCACAGTTATCAAATGTACATTTACCACTGTACCTTCAGAAGCCTCTTCAGAAGCATCTTGGAGACAGGATGTGCTAGTTGTACTATACGATTGAAATTTTAATTAAAAGTTCTACAGAAGAGAGCAAGATAGAAATAAAAAACCCATGTCACGCAGTGTCCCAGTGTCAGATAACATGAGATGAAAAGGTCAGGGTTTGTAAGACATAAATGAGGATAACAAAGGTGTTCTATCTTAGCAAAGACTTTTATTCTGTGCTTCTTTCCTCCTCCTCAGGACATGAAGAAACAAAAGGATGCTGCAGACACAAGGCAATGAAAGCAAACAAGTGAACAAAGAACAGCTCCAGTTAGACCTAAGTGAGGGTTAAAAGGTAGCTTGGGTGCAGATATGGAAATTTACCATCATTATTAAAAGCCTAAGGTTTGTCTTTGTATTTTGTTGCAACTTCATTTCAATAAGTATATTTTAAATAAATAGTCTGTATTTCGTTCTCAGTCAAATTCAGATGGATCAACCACACAGCCAGACAGCTCACATGCTCTCAGTACTTGGGTACTCCACCTTGTTTGAAGTGCCCAGTTCTCCCATACTTTGTCTCAGGGACACAGTTCAAACCACATGGCAAAATCTAAGAACAGGTGACTCAGAGGATGAGAGGAGTGACCAATGACAGCCACAAAAGTTTTCTGGTAAGAGGAAAAAACTATATTGAGCCCACCTGAATGCACAGGTTTTGAGGCAGTTTATGACACTGACTTATATCTAGCAGAGTGAGACTGTCACATTTACAGCCAAGCCAAGAAATTGCCTGGTGCCACTATCCAACACCTAATGTCTAATCCTCTACTTGACATACCTGGATCTTGCTATGGGGTGCATCTTGGCTATGATCCTAAGTGTTATGGCAGGAGCATGGATATGAGACCCAGCCACAGCACAGCCCTGTGACCGTGGCTCAGCAAAGCGCCAGGGACAGTGCAATCATAGTGTGAATCTGCACATCTCTCCCATGAAGTGTCTTGGAGTCATGATATTACAAATAGTTAAGCCTGAATATATCAGGCCCTTTGCAAAAGCAAGATGGTTTTGGATACCGAAGGTGTATTTGCTTTTCTTTCACATTACAACCTCCCTTTTACTTTTAAAATATTTTACATTTCCTCACATAGTCCAATTCAACATACTATTTGCTACCACTGACCTACTGAGTGCTGCTAAATACACCATTCAATTATTGGAAAAGATATGATGGACTACATTTTTGTGCCATTTGAACATTATAATAGAGTTAATAGATTTGTAGATCATTCACAATAGCATGTTTTGCTGGGCTTTTGTGTAACAGATTGACAAGTATTGTGCAACAGACCATAGAAATGAACTGTCCTGTCACAAGTTACGTCCATACATGGCTGAATAAAAGCTGTCATTCCCCTATTTCCATACATTAAATGCTAAGGCTAATGAGCTTTTATTAGGAAAAATCCTGTTTCAACTGGACTGACAAAGAAAGCTTTAAACAAATTTTGTCCACATGATTTTCAAGGAAAAAGAAGTCAGACAGGATCTACCATTAAGCATCTTTTTATTGTAGTCTTTAATGTACATGCAGAATTTTTAAAAAAGGTGTCAGTTATATCTGTAAGCTTATAACAGTAATGTAAATGTTTGGATCAGCAATGTATTTGGATTAGGGACTAAGAAACCTAAGTGAACAGACATCTTTCAGGATATACAGTTTACATGGTAAATCAAGAAGGTTTTCTTTGGAGTGATTTTCCTCATAAAAAGATAAAATATTTCTTGTTTACAATCTTGGTTGTTTTTAATACTGAAAAAAATCTATAGTAGTACACTCTTCATTATGTACATAGAAAAACATAAAACTATATCCATACCAGTGTCTGTTTTAAATGCAAATAGTAGTTAATAGCTTTGTAAATTTTTGTGCATTCTCTCCCACCCCCATTCTCCCTCCCCCACCCCCACTTAAAAATGCAGCATTTCCTAAAGTTTTCAATGCTTTGGCAGAAACAGAATGGAAGGCACTTCCATGTTAGGTAAAGCAATATGTGAAATATCAGCGCTAAATAAAAAAGCTGTAGGTGTACCAGACAGCTCCATGTTCATCCCAAGGGATGGATTTTGCACTCCTGCAGGTCAAGAACTATTTTGCTAGAGATTCCAGCTGGAGCAGGCTCAGACCCCAGCTTGGTTTACAAGAAAGCTGATTAGCCTCACAGCTATTTTTACAAATGCTTCACACAAACCAGTGAGGATGCAGAGAGCATCTCTGAACACAGTACTGTCATAAGGGCAAAAAGCTCTTGCAGGTCACAGCATCAGAACATGTCGCAAAGGCCCCGCCACTGAGGCCTTCCACTTTGCAACACGGTACTTTCACACAACGCCCTTGTTTAAGACTTCCTGATGTGGCAGCTCAGCTAAAAATGAACAAAGCAACACACAAATGTGAAGATTCTAAAGCATCTCTTGTGATGGATAAATTTAGACTCAGCAAAGCATCCTGAAAACAATCTGTGTGCTAGTGGCAGGCTGACCTCTGCTGATAGGGAAGTTTTGAAAGCTGTAGAAAAGTTTCTTGCAGGGGCAGCTCCTCCCTGGCCTCCTGTAGCTTGTTTGGCACACTTTCATTTTTCTTTTACCTCAGGATTATCTCTGTCATACCTGCGATATGCATTTATATTAATACTTTGCAAAAATACCCCAGATGCCAATGAGATAAGCACCTAAATGCATGGTAAGGGATGCATCATAAGTCACAGTCAGGAAAACATTTCTGTAATGACCAATTTTAGCTCTTAACTGCAGTTTGTTTCTGCAATCCTCATAAAGGTTGAGAAATGACTGGATGCAAACTTCCAAGACAGAATGAGACAGAAAGGCACTGATCAGAGCTTTTATATGTCAATGTCTCCAGCCTGACAAAATGTTAAATTTTCAGGACCTATTCTAGTTCAGTAATATGTTTACTTAACTAATTTATTCATACTGCACAATATCTGACCACGACTGTAAATAGCTGTAGTCAACTGACAACCCAATTGAAAAAGAACATTCTGCTAAAACCTGCCAGCTGGTCACGTTCATTCTGCTGTGATAGCTCTGCGCTCTTTAGCCACAATAAAATGAATGGCTTTATAGTGTTGGAAAGCATTTCTGTCATCCTTCAATATCACTGTGGATTTATCTCACAAGGAATGAAGGGTAAGATAAAAAGGTATACAACAACACTTCAATCTTTGAATTGAGCAGCCAGCAAAATAATATGCAGCTGGCATGGAAGAATAGCCCTTTAAGGTTAGGTTTAAAATGAAGACCAAAGGGGGGGAAAAAGGCAAAAGAAAGGAAAAAAAATTAAAAGACAAGTAGTCCAGTAAGAATGAACAGTAGAAAAAGAAACTGAGCAAGTGATTCTTTGTTTTGGGCCAGTCCACCACCAGTTGCTGTATGTTGATTTGGGAAACACAAAACTGGCACCAAAACACTCCAAAAACCACAAAACCTTCACCCCCTTCCTAGGCTGATGGCTCTCCTTGAACTGTCCCTCAGATCTCTTTCCGTACTGTGGCTCGGATGCTGCTGAACACTTTGCCTATGGCCTCAAAGAGCGGGTCGCAGAACGTGTGGATGCAGATGGAATAGACACGGCTAATACACTGGATCTCAATCAGGTAGCTCCTTATGCACGGCACCACCGCCCAGATGTGCAGGAATGACAGAATGGCAAAGTAGATGCCCCAGATGAGAGCCATAGGAATACCAAAGATTGCTGACAGTAAACGATAAAACCAGTATTTCGTTACAGTGAAGGTGGTAAAACTGGCCTTCCAAATCCCATCAAAGCTGTGTGTTCCCTCTGGCTCAGCAATCACATCTTCAAAATCGATCTGCAGCAAAGAACACAAAGTCAGGTCAGTCAGACATTCACATCAAGGGTGTATTTCAGAAACACCTTTCCTGGAGAGCTATGGTCCCCTGCAAGACAAGAAAACACAAAGCACATACTTCCTACATCCTCACATGATTCAACCTATTATGACCCATGATTTAAGTAATGAATCTTCAGTAACCTTTACCCAGTGACTACCAGGGAGCCTCAATGATTAGCTCAAAATTAGACATCTAACTTCTAGATGGAGTTTTCCACAAAACTGAGTATATTTTCCTCATCTTCTACAGCTCTAAGGTACGCAGTGCCCTTATGGTCTATTTAAGGTACAAAACAGGTGAATAAAATAGTATTTCATAGTTTTGACTATTCATAAATCATTCAAAAAGTCACCTAAGGAAGCAGTGCATTCCAACAGGCATATTTTAGCATTCTCTGTTGAAATACCGAGCTGTTCAGGAAGCTGAATTGTCATAACATTTCTATAAGAAAATTAGCAGAATTGCAATGATGGTTCAGCTCCATGTCACACAGACGTGTTTGATATAACCCACAATACAGGATATTTAATTTAGTCAGAGCAACGAATTGTATAGGCACTGCAAACAAGAGGAAAGAGAACATCACAACACTATTCCTCTGCAATGAAATAAATGGCTATTAAAGTCAGATAAAATAAAAAAAAATTGCATTCCTGGGACTGGATCCCAAACTGAGATAATAATGCTGTCAAAAGTGAAGATGTACAGGAGCAAGGTAAGTATGACATGGGCCAGCAGCCTCAGAGACTCTGGCAGTTGTACCTTAGCATGCTGGAAGAAGGTGAATATACATGCACTCCTTCTAAATTCTGCTTATACTGTAAGAAAAGGCTCACAATAACTTCTTTTAATCTAAAATATATGTAACAATTGAAAAACACTCGTTCTTCTCTCCTGCTGAAACTTTTATCACCTCCAGACATAAGTTACTAACAAAGGGAAAAATGTTATAAAACCACTGGACTTTCCAGCTTCTTAAAGAAAAAAGATAATTACAAACAAAAGTGTACAGTCTAGGTGCAATCTATGTGAAGGCTGATAAGTCCTTGAGAGGAAATTTCTGAATTATCTGTGATATCCAACACCCTGAATGCCTAAAACCAGACTTAATTGAACATATTCACATTACTCTCTCTGCCAGTGCTTCTCTCTAGACATCCTGTCATGCAAATTATAAACCTCCTCTTTTTCTGCTACTCTGAACAAGGTTCTAGTGATCTGGAAGTCATTCTCTGGGATGGATATTCATTATCATCATCACCCATCACACCTAAAGGTAGCATTTGAGTTGAAATTTGATCACAGAAACCTTTGGCAGAAACCTTTTCTTTTTAGAATACGTAAGGAAGCAGACTTACACAATCTGTTTCTGCAGCTATTCAAAAGCAGACTTTTCACTTTAGCCACATCTCATGTTAGCTCATTTTCAAAGTGAATGGGTGTTCTTAGCTTATTACCAAAATTTTCCTTGAAATCAGAAAAGAAAACTATCTATATGATGGCAAACCCCAGGATGATGACACTAAAAGAAAGCTGCTCCTCAAAAAACATTACTCCATAAGGACTACATGGTTCTTATTCTAAAACTTCTGTCAATTTATTGCATGCTTCCCACCAGCTGATGCTGTAATCCTTGGCAAAAGTAACACAGCCATCATAAAGGTTCAAAGCATCGAGGGCTAGTCAGTGTCAAATCTAAAGTATTTTTATTCATTTCAGTTGTAGTGGAAATACCATCTTGTATTATTTCAACTGGTTGATAAGGGAAATATTAGATCTCATAAGGAAAAAAGGTTTGCATTGAGCTCCATCAGCCTTTTCATAGTTGCATCTTTATTTTAGCCAAGTGCGAACTATTTTTATCAGAAATGCATTTTTTGGCAAGCAAAATGAAGCTATCATTTAATGTGAATTCTCTAGAATTTTTAAAATATATAGTAAGATTAACCCATAATTTGATTACTTTCAAAGTAATTCATTGTAATGAAATGGAAAATGGAAGCCAATAAACTCACTGGTTTTCAAATCAAACAGTAAACTTTCTGTAATTGTGATTCTCAGTAACTAATATTTTTAGCCTGCTGTGTTCAACAAAATGTCCATGGAGAACTGGGGAGCTGACAGAAGAATCATGCCATATAGCATTTCCAGATGGACAGCCCTGTATTCCTTCCAGGAGATGATGCTAATATTAGAACATTTATTATATATCTTTGGTCAGGATTTCCCAGCTCAAGTTATACACTGTTGTCCTAAAAGTACTCAGGAATAAATCTGTCCGTGAGATAATAGGGACGTATCCACGTCACCAGTAATTATCAAGAGGTTAGTTTCTTGGAGCAATCCCAGCTCTTGGAATGTTTCTAACAATGCACAGAAGAAGAGATGGCTCTGTAGGAATGGTAGCTGATGTCACACTACTATGTCTGCCCATTTCATTATTCCTCAAATTCCATTTCACAATACTCCAGTTTGAATAAGGGTACTTGTGAGTGAAAAGACACAAATGGCCTGACAACTTAAACTCTTAGCTGAATACAGTGTTAAAATGAAGCTGTTATCTTCCCAAAAGCTGTAAGAACATTATGAAACCTAAGAAGATTATGTACATGCCAAGGAAGTCCAGCTACACCTGGCACATGAACCTCTGCGGTGCTGTCCAAAACCAGATTTACCTGCAGCAGTATCTAAATAAAGATAGGCAAGGAGTTGAGGTAATCTGGGCTCTTCTACTCATGTGCCTGGGAAACACTACTTATTTCACTCTTCAAGCAGTACAGATAATTCCTTATGCTGCAGGAACTGAGATATCACTCAGCTTCTTCTTGCACTAAACCACTCCCATGAAGGATCCTGATTTTAACTTGTAGGGATCAGCTCTCCACAGGCTGCAGGAGGAAAAGGTGACTGGACAAATTTGCCTTGCTATGGATTACATTTACATCACTCAGATTACTCACTCCCTCCTCAGTTTCTCCTACTACTCTCCTCTGGTTTCTAGTTT